CCCCGCCAAGCGCCCGTGCGCCATGTGCCCAGGGCCAGGCCAGCCCCGAGCACCTGGCGGGCGCATTGAAGCACCGTGTTGGGGACCACGGCTCTACTGTATTAGGAACCAGGTGGGCAGGCAGCTCTGTTCAGACTTGCGCTGAGTATGGGCCGGGACCCCACCCTGAACAGAGCTATATCAGAAGCAGCTGCACAGGACAACAGGTAGCCTGTCCACAAGGAGAGCTAGTTTTTAAACTGGCTCCCCTTGCAGACCATCTCCTGCCTGGCACCCCATGCGGGACCACGGCTCTACTGTATTAGGAACCAGGTGGGCAGGCAGCTCTGTTCAGACTTGCGCTGAGTATGGGCCGGGACCCCACCCTGAACAGAGCTATATCAGAAGCAGCTGCACAGGACAACAGGTAGCCTGTCCACAAGGAGAGCTAGTTTTTAAACTGGCTCCCCTTGCAGACCATCTCCTGCCTGGCACCCCATGCTGCTGCCTCTAATATAGAGGCAGTAGCACGGAGTGGCAGGGGGCTCCTCAGGAGGGGGGCCGGAGCACATTGGTTACCAGCCCTACCCCCGGGGACTACAGAATAGTTGACTAACCAATAACAATTCATGCGGTTAATTGACTTTTCAATTAACGGATATTAAAACATCCCTACCCCCAACCTGAAGCAAATACTACAGGCTCAGATACACTCACCCAGGAACCTACCCCTGCAACAAAACCAGATGCCAACTCTGTCCACACATCTATACTAGTGACACCAACACAGAAGCTAACCCCATAAGTCACAACATCAGGGGCTCATCCTCTTTGCACATTCTCTAATGTGATGTGCCAGCAATGCTCTTCTAAACCAGACGGTCTCTGTGACAAAGGATAAATGGATACAAATATGGCTTTCCAGTATGTATTACAGAGACATTATGGGGGCAATACAAAATGGGACAGTTGCTCTAATTCTCTTTGCTATCATTCTGGGAAGATGATAGAATAACTGCAATGCCTTTCTATTTAATTATTTAGTGGGTGGACTAGATAAACCAGAATAAGGCATTTTGCATTCAGTACTAGTAGCCAGCACTGATCTTTTCCTGAAAGACCTCATGAAAAACTGTGATTGCTTGGTGTCAAGATTTCTTAGCCTTAGCAGACAATATAGATATCTGTAGATGCTGGCCTTCCTTAGCTGTGGAATTTCCCTGAATCTTATTACTAGTCAATTAAATTAACTAGACAAAAACTGTTAGGCCGTATGAGTTCCAATACCTAGACCAAATTAATAGGGCTGGAAAGTCTGAATGGATGCCATTCCTACTGTGCTTCAATTTCACTAACTAACAAGGATTGTGCTGGGCAGAGGACATGAAGTAAATCACCACCAGAGAGGAAACTGCCCTAAGAAGAATCTGCAAGCTGTGAACTATCTTTACCTTGTACAGTAGACTTCCGATAATCTGGCACCTTTGGGACCTACGTGGTGCCGGATTATCAAATATGCCGAAGTATCAGAAGGTACTCCAGCGGGGAGCTGTGACGGATCTGCTGGGAGCCGCACTGCGTCCGGGGGTTGGGCGGGGTACAGCTTGGCAAAGGGCGAACCCTCCGCTGTTTTGCAGGAAGGCGGGGGAAGCCCCGCGCCGCTTCCAGGAGGGGAGCGGGCTCCCCACCCCCCAGACTGCAGTAGTTATCGCGGAGCAGGTGGGTGAGGGGCGGCGCTGAGGGACCAACCCGGCAGCACCCCAGCTGCTCTGCTGCACAGCTTGTCCGCCGCTTGTCAGTTTCAGCAGCGGCAGCAGAGGACTTGGGGAAGCGGCGGAGTAGAGCAGCTAGGGTGCTGCCGGGTTGGTCCTGCAGTGGTGCCCCTCACCCCCCTGCTCTGTGCCCAGCAGCACCCCAGCTGCTCTGCTCTGCCGTTTGT